CCAGTCCTTCAATACATATTTATTCAATGTCTACTGTATATATGAAACAGAAAAAGACACTGTAAATTAAAATATACCTTGGACATTTTTGTGATCTTTCTAAAATTAAAAATATCAATTAATTTCAGCACGATGAGTTAAAAAATATGTACTAATTTATTTACATAATAGTTATCAAATGTGTACACATTTAAATATGCACTCATTTGGACATTAGTTGCAAAGATGTATTTAACTGTTTATAATTAAATATTTAGATTGTTTTAAATGCTAAATGTGTAATACATTTTTCTTTTAGTAAAAATTATTTATAAATATCAATTTTCCAATAATGCTCATTTTTCTTTCCTGTTCATAAGGACAATCATGCACACAACTATTCAAATGGCTAACGTGACTAGTAAGAAAGTCTTAAGTGCTATAACAAGTTTGTTTTAATCAAACATTCATTGCTAGTCACTTTCCAAATTGCGTACTTCTCCCCGCAATTTCCTAAGAAAATTCACCATGATTGCTAGAATAAGTAATATATGCTTTATACTTCTGAAAAAAAAAACAAAAAAGAAACAAAGGATTGAAGAGAAAAGCTGGATTGTGAGAGAAGACAAACACCTTTTGAGTGTAATGTGCGTGAAATTGTATGCCTCCAAAGAAAGACAATTTGTCAGCAGGATACAAAGTAAAGATTCTTTGCTCAGAAATATTCTTGAGTAGGTGGTTAGTTGTTTTATTGTCTTCTCTCGAATACAAGTCATCCCTGTAACCCTGCTGAATGAAGGAAGCTCTAGATGACACAATTTCAATCTCAAATCAGGTCAGAAGGGAAGGAGGTAGGGTGAGAATAAGAAGAAAGATGGAAGAGCAAAAACGTGGCATTGGTAAATGTGAGGTTTAACCTCTTGAATATGTGGGTCATCTCCTGGGGAGAAAATATCCACTAAAGAAGAATATTAAACCTCCTAAGAAAATGCAAAGGCTACAAAAGTCACACTGCAACTGAGGTGTGCGAGGAACAGAGAAAGTATTGATTCATCTGTTCCAAATTTTTTCAGAAAAAGTGTGTCTGTGAACCCAAACAAGAAAAAACAGAACAGAAGTAAGAAGGTAGGACTTAGATAAGATTAAATATATAACTTCAGTGATTCTGAAAAAGGAGTACAAAACACTAAAAGAAAGTGGTCTCAGTAAACAGTTTAAAAACTAACTCTTCTTATTTTCTTTCTCATTGGCATCTTTAAAAGTCCTACCATTTGATTGATTTAAGCTAAAATTCCTCTAAAGTTGTTATTGTTCAATTTTGTACCTATTTAGTGACTCCTAAAATTCCGTGCAAGAATTACTGCAAGCTTTCCTCAGATACTTTTAAACTCTACTTCTCTTATGTGATACAATGAACTTTATTGACTCTTTGTCTATATTACCTTTAATATGCTTCATTATTATGTTTTCCTATAAATTTCGTTTTTCTACGTTTTTTCTATGAAAAAGTCTCATCTTAAAAATGAATATTGCCATGGAAACACACACACACACACACACACACAGACACACACACAACTATGTATAAATAAAAATAATAATGTTTCTTCCACATATCAATATTAAGAATAAAACATTCATAAATAGTAAATATATTACTATGAACACTAAAGTTTGTGGTCATAAATCCGAAATGGAAATGGATATTGCTAAACTATAACAAACAGAACCTAACATTGTTTGTTCAGTTGTTTAATTCCAATATTAATATTAAATTCTAAGTCTGAAGCTTCCCTCACACTAATGAAATAGGGACCTTTTATCAAGGATCATAAAATATTGTTAAGCACAAGGATTTTCTCTAATACAGGAAATTAAAAAAGTATTTTACTTAGGAGCCTCATTCTACAGTGCAAGTAGTATTTTCATGGTACAAACTAGTTACACCATAAAGTTTCATAAAGTGTTTGGGAAAATAAAAGTTTGTAGTGATTCTGCTGCTTTAAGAAAAAGAACAAAAAGTCTTTAAAATAAATAGGTAAAGGACTAAGAAAAAGGGCTCCGGCCCTTGAAGCACTTTCTTTCACCACATACCATTAATGTACTGATGAAAATTATGAGTTAAAAATACTATAGAAGATTTAATAGCTCATGAAAATATAAATGAAAAACAGTTATGGAGAGAAATACAGCTAGGTCCTTAAGAACAGGTATTAGAAACAGACCCAAATCTAGTCTTTGCCATTCTCTAGCGAGTCTATATTTCACATGGGACATTTCACTTTATCTACTGACCTTCAGTTTCCTCTTCAGAAAAATGGTGATACTCACACATAACAGGGAGGATCTTGTAAAAATTAAATAACTTATGCATGTAAACACTATCCATGTAGAAAACGGCATGTGGTTAAGTGTCAATAAACAATAACTCTTTTAAATAAGTAAATCTTTTCACCATTAGAGAGTCATGAATTTTATGCTTAAGAAAAGAAAAAAAATAGCTGAGTGTTGAAATAAATCAGGATTTATTAATAGATCCAGGAAGGTCTACAAGGTGTGATCCAGGAGAAGCACCTAGCTTTTTGTTAAGTAATCAGACTGTATTCTAAACTGAATGATATAGTTTGTAGGTATGTCCCCTACAAATCTCATGCTGAAAAGTGACCTCCAGTGTTGGAGGTGGGCTATGCAGGACATGATTGTGTCATGGGGGCAGATCCCTCATAAATGGCTTGATGGCCTCCCCATGGTAATGAGTTCATGTGAGAACTGGTTATTAAACCGAGTCTGGGAGGTCCCTTTCTTGCCATATGATGTACCTGCTCCCCCTTCACCTTATACCATGAGTAAAATCTCCCCGACGCCTCACCAGGAGATGCTGGTGCTCTGCTTGTACAGCCTGCAGAATTGTGAGCCAAATAAACCTCTTTTCTTTCTAAATTACCCAGTCTGAGGTATTCCTTTATAGCAACACAAAACAGACTAACAAACACACCCATGTTCTCTGATCTCTGGTTGTCTTTCTCCTAAACCAATCTGCCTTTCAAATGAGTCACTATAGTTTATTTTATGATTTATACTTTCTTTTAGGTTATTTTCTTTTCAAATCATGTTAAGTTTATTAAATGAATTCCAATTCTACATTATACTTTTAACTGGAATATATTCCAGATAATTTAAACAGACCCGATCGGGGTACAATGTGTAAATTAAACCAGTATATAAACTGGCAAGTGGGTATACCTGAGTGTATAATTCTTATTTAATGAAATTATTAGATACATATTTTGATATAATATTTCTAAGGTAGTCAGTAAACTTTCAGGATGATCAGAATTCTCTAAATATAGGATATTAAGGAACCAAATTGCCCATCTCTGAAAATTTATTAGAGAAAGGAAATCTGTGGTAAACCATAATCCCTTTATGCAAAAGTGTATGAGCAAGTTATTTATATTAAAGTGATTTAAGTAGATGATATTTCAGAATGAGTTTGGCAGAGGATTTTGAAGTGGCTATCCTCAAAGACATTTTAAAGGAATACAGGAAATTGAAGAGACAGCTGTGAAATTCTTTAATTAAAAAATTATGATAAAATCTACAATCTGAAATTTTACTTCACCTTTTGTTTCAAAATATGAACATAAAAATATGAATGTAAGTTTCCTAAAACTGTCTTTAAAAGCAAGGTTCACCTTATTGCATTTTTAAATAAAATGCTTTTGTAGAAAAGGAGTCTTTATATTTCACAAAGGTCTTATTGTGCAACCCAAGTATAATTGTCCCAATTCCAAGATGGTTTACAAATTTTATTTCCTTAAAATATCACTAGTGAATAATAATGGCCAGTAGGGGCTTTATCAAATAGAAGGGCCTATAGAGATAACAACACAAGAAGCGTAAGCTAGATGAGCTATCAATAAATCCTGTACTCTAAGGCTTTTTCATAACAATGATCAGCTTATAAAACTTCACAAAATAAACTTTCTCTAATCATTCATTCTATAAATGAAGCTGAATGAAATTTTCTCTCAACTGTTTTCACTACTATTTTAAAATTTCAATTCATCTCTTATTGGCCAAATTTCTATTACTGAAGTTTGTATACTTCCAGCTCACGAGTAATGTCCTGCTTCTTTAATAAGTGTGAATGAGGCCAGCCTAGAAATATCTTTACAAAAGTAAACTTGCTGATCCCCAGATACTTTGCTTCTTATGAAACATCAAAGGAAGTCGAAACCTAGGATTTGTTTATGATACCAGGTGTTTTCTATCTCTGGGATAAGCTGAATATCTATTATGAAAATACATAATTTCTGAGTGATTTTCACTAAGAATCTCATAAATAATTAATGAGTTAGATAATTCTTTTTTGAGATGCTGTCAGAAAATGTTTCATTTTAGATTTTTTGATTCTTCATTATTCCTGGAGAAAAGACACATTGTTGGCATATACCATATCTGATAAAAACATTGCAAAGACATAATTCTCGAAACTGTAAAACATATAGTCTGAAGAGTACTTTACATCTTTTAATCTTTATTTTTTTCTTTCTGGTCTACTCCTTCCGGATGAATATATTTCTAATTCTCAAAATGTTGACAGCAGATGAAGCTTAGATATAATTCTTCTATCAAATTCAAAATGTATAAATTGCTATACATTATATATATAATTGTATTGTTCATTTTCACTTCTTATCTGCTTGGACCTGGATAATTGGTATAATACTCCCCTAACCTTTTTCTAAATGTTTTATATTCTTGCACTAATTAAGAAAAGTGTGTTAGAATAGGTATTCATATACAGAAATAATCACAAGTAAACGCTGTAGGATAGGGTAGGCAATATCTAATTCTTCTGATGGCGGGGAGGATCTATGATTGTCAAAAATTAATATTAGCCCATTTTTTCATTTAATTTATGTGATTTATGTTTTCATAGAGAATATTTGTCAATGCATGCAAAACACAGTTTAATATCTTTTGTCTTTCCAAGAAAAGTATAGGAGTATACATACTGTAAGGGACACATTCATACTGCACTTCAAGGTATTTATAGGTTCCTGGACACGGGTCTGGAAAAACATCAGGACCTGCCACCACTGCACACTGGGTTCTGTTATTGCATCTGAAGTCAAAAGAAAGGAAAAGAAGTAGTAAGCTTACGCAAAGTTAAATTATTATCAACATCAACACTAATTTTATTTCAGTTCCTGTTATACAGATTTGAATAAGGTTTTGCTTAATTTGGGGCTTTAGGCCTATTAAGAAAATATCTGTAGTACAGTTTTTAGAAACTAGACATTAAAATCAATCTATTCAGCTTGCTCATATTAACTAATTTAAAATTTGATTGAATACAGCGTAATTTCTAGTTAGAAGTTAAATATTGCTGAAGCAACACTAACTGGTCCACAGGATATTGCCAATGTGAACACAAGTAGGAAAGACTATTTGATAGGAAAGACTCACTCCAGTACAAAAAAAAAAAAGATTTTAGAAAATATAACCACAGAGTATATTAGGCAGTTGTAAAATAAATTCACTGACTATGATGACATTCATTGTAAAGGCATGAAAAGTGGTATTGAAAAGCTTTATCTGAGCCTAACAAATTAGTAAAAAGTTAATATTTAAATATTAAAATGAGTATTTGAATTTATTTTGTATAAATTAATATAATATTACTACTTATTAAAACCATTTTAGGAACTAAGTGTCATGTCCTTTTGTTCAGCCAAATAATGATACAATCTTCATGGATTACTTATCACAAAGGTCAGTATCTTATACTATAAAATAATGACTTTAAATTTGTAAAAAGAATAATGACATACCACTATTAAAACATAAATATAAGATGAAACTGGAGGTTATCATGTTACGTGAAATAAGGTACAGAAAGACAAACTTTGCATGTTCTTATTTATGGGAGCCATTAAACCCATGAAGCTATAGGGTAGAAAGATGGTTACCAGAAGATGGGAGGGGAATGAGGGGTAGGGAGGGGAGGAAGTGAGGATGGTTCCTGGGTACAAGAATTGTTAGAAAGAATGAATAAGACCTAGACCTAGTATCTGACAGCACAATTGGGTGACTACAGTCAAACATAATTTAATTGTACATTTAAAAATAACTAAAGATCATAAACGGATTGTAGCACAGACGATAAATGCTTGAGGTGATGAATATCCCATTTACCCTGATGTGATTATTACACAATACATGCCTTTTTCAAAATATCTCATGTTTCCATAAATGCACACATCGACTATGTCCCCACAAAAATAAATAAATAAGTAAATAAATAAATCTTTCTAAACCACAGAAAAAGAGAAAAAAAATATGAATACAAACTTGGGCACTTTTGTGGCAATTAGGCTAAATAAATCTGAATTGATTAATTCATGGGGAAAAACAAACATGTTGAAATTAATTATAATTCTGAAAAAGATACTCATATTCACAGTGGACTAATTACCGTGAATTTCACTCAGCAACGTTCTAAATTCAAAAATTTATTCTTAAGTATTTTTCTATAAAAAACTAATGGTTTTTCCTACCCATAATATTGGCACTAAGTCTATAACATGTGATACTCTAATTATCTCCCGTGTTGTAAGTTCTTGTTTATTCATTTCAGAAATATAACCTCAAGGCTAGATTTTTCTGTTAATTCCTTACGGAGATGTTCTGTTCTCTGATGTGACTTCAGAATACTTGCAAGGATACTGGCAACATAAAGAACATCTAGAGCATAACTCACTTTGATTTAGTGTAAAAATACGTTGTGTTTACCTGAGGCTACCATTTGTCAGGCTTAACGAGGATTTTATTTAGTCCGTAAATTAAATTTGATTCATTAATGAATTTCTTAAGCTGAAAAATATATTATGTGTTATCAGTGAAAGATGAATAAAAGCTAATGCTCCATACTCATCAGGCAATTTAGCATAACAGCTAATACTGAGAGTTAACAAGTTGTAAGGATTTTCTGTGTCAGAGGCTGATGATCAGACAAATGTAGAATAACATTAAGGTAAATGTGACTGTCCTGACACATGTGCCCACAAATATGTTATCTTGATGTTTTGGTGTACTCACACCTTCTTAAAATAGCAGATCTTTCATATTAAAAAGAAATTATTTGAATAAGCTCTTCAAGTCAAGTGACATGTTTTTAGCAATTAAAACAATACAATTTTCACATTACACTCACCTTGAATATACAACCTCATAAATCCATCTAAGGTTTTTACTACAATAGGCAGGGATATGAATTCATAAAGTTATTTTTGTATTTGTTATAGAAAAATTAGCAATTATCAGGAACACATTCAACACAGACATAACGGAAAAGTGGCACTATAAAATTTAATATGATGTAAATATTCTGTAAACGTAATATTAATTCGGATGTGTGAATATTTATACATATCTCCTTTTCTTCTTATCTTGGTCTACAGTCACTTTATTCCCTATTACTAAACCTTTTTAATTACTATACCTCTAATTTCAAAAATGTATTTAGAAACAATATCTACTCTTGTAATTTTCAGATATAAATAGGCAACTGTAAATCTTTTATTTAAATAATCAATGTATGATATAAACAGATCAGCTTACTACTCATTTCTGACCAGAGCATAATAGTTAAAATTTATAATTATGGAAGTATATGTTGCACAGAAAGCTGTGATGAATCAATAGGGATTTCAAATGGTTATGTTTATATAGATTAGATTAGAAAACATAACCTGGAGTCTATCCATATCTATCTATCTATCTACCTACCTAAAAGTGCATTGACCAATTTATATATTATATATTATCAAGTTGTAAATTACTAATTATTTATCTATATGTAAGAAAATTATAAAAGCAACTATCTCTTGTAAATAATAGTTACCATTGTGAGATCCAAATAGCTTATTTAATATTAACTGAAGATGAGTCAAGAAAGCCTTCTAATTAATGAGATAGTGTCTGTTCGGTGGTATATAAAACAAAAAATGTTATGCCTATATTTATAGTCATTATCATCATTGTTCTATATAAAACAGCAGGAATTTATAACATTCACCTTTCAAAATAATTTATGATTCTATTACTATGTTTGTATCAAAAGTTCATTATAAATTATGATTATTAAAAATAAAATGGAAAAAGGTAGATTCAATCTCTGGAATACTATTTTTATATAGGATACATTATAATATTGATTGTTTAAAGACTAGCTATATTTTGAAAACAGGAGTTTAAAGGTTCTGTCCTTTGCTTTCGTTTTTTAAATGACTTCAGTTACTGTTAGTTAAAATGAAATTAAATATAATTAAAGATTTGTAAACAATTTAGTCCACAAAGATTCTTTCAAAATTTATAAAAGTAAATTCATTCTAAAATACTATAGATGAAAAAAGTGAGATAAAGTGATCTAATGTTCTCAACTGCTTTAGTTTCATTGTTTATTTTTAATGTAAACATAAATTAAAAACATGCTTTTTGGTATCCCTATTACCTGATGTTTATATATATACACACACAATGTAAAATGATTACCACGATAAAGCTAATTAACATATCCATCATACAGTTATCTTTTACTGTGTTGTGTGGTGAGAAAATTTAAGATCTACTCTTACAGCAAATTTGAAGTATATAATACAGTATTGTTAACTGTGGTTACCCGACTGTACATTAGATTACCAGAATTTACTCATCCTGCGTTACTGAAACTTTGCACCCTTTGATCAACATCTCCCCATTTCTCCTATCTCCCTAGCTTCTGGCAACTAACATTCTACTTTCTGCTTCTAGAAGTTTTGACTTTCTTAGATTCCACATATAAGAGGGATCAAATAGTATTTGTCTTTTGATGTCTCACTTATTTCACCTAGCGTAATGTCCTCCAGGTTCATACATGTTATCACAAATGAGAGTTTCCTTCATTTTTAAGGCTGAATAATATTCTATTATATATTAATATATAAATATATTTGTATTTACGTTTTATCCATACATCTGCTAATTGGCAGTTAGGTCAATTCCATATATCGTGTTTATTGTGAATAGTACTGGAAGGAATATGATACTACAGATATCTCTTTAAGATATTGACTCATTTCTTTTACATATCCATACCCAGAAGTAAGACTACTGGATCATACGGTAGTTCTATTTTTAATTTTCTGAAGTACCTACATACTGTTTTCCATAACGGCTATACTAATTTACATTTCCATCAGTAGTATATAAGGATTGTCTTTCCTCTACATTGTCATCAACACTTATCTTTTGTCTTTTTGAACATAACCATTCTAACAGATATGCAGTGATATCTCATTGTGGTTTTAATTCACATTTCCCTGACGATTAGTGAAGTTGAGCACTTTTAAACTTACCTGTTGGCCATTTGTCTTCTTTCAAGAAATATTTATCATGTTTATTGCTGATAGACTGAGTCCACTTTTAAATTACGTTATTTGTTTTCTTGCTACAGAGGTGTTTAAATTCCTGGTATACATTGGATATCAACTCCTAAATAAATGTGTAGACCAATGGTACAGAATAGATGGCCCACAAATTAATCCACACGTTTATGGTCAATTAATTTTCAACAAATGTGCCAAGAATACACAATGAGGAAAGGATTGACTGTTCAATAAAGAAGGCTGGGGAAACTGGATATCTACATGAAGAACGAAACTGGATCTCTATCTTACACGACATACAAAAGCCAAGTAGAAAGGGATTAAAGATTTATATATAAAACCTAAAACTATAAAACTATTAGAAGAAAACATAGGTAAAAACCTTCTTGAAATTGATCTGGGCAATTTTGGGGAGAATATGACCCCAGAAGCACAGGTCAAAAAGCAAAAATAAACAAATTGCAGTGCTTCTAACTACAAACCTTCTGTACAGAAAATAAAACAATTAACTAAGTGAGGACACAAGCTACAGAATGGGAGAAAATACTTTTAAACCTATTTGTCACTTCTTTCTGAGACGAATAATGCTACCCTCAATTTTACAGAAAATAGAATTGGAATGAAGACGTTAAATGGCTTTTCAGACTCTCAGTAATCAAATAATAGCCAGTGGAGTCCAGAACAGTGGCCTGAAAAT